GATTCAGAGTTTGAGGTTCTGAGGATGGAAAATAGGAGATGATGTATCATTCGAGATTTCTATGTTAAAAGGAAAAATAACGTGTAAATTGAATATTGAAGCACTGTATAAGGTGCAATATAATATAATGAGCTAGAAAGGATATTTGGAGAAATAAATACATAATTACAATACGCGGTTGGAGCCGTGGGCAAACGCTAGTAAAGCTATAATCTTCAGGAAAAAGTTCTGTAAATAACTTCTTTCTGTAAAACCGTTATAAGCCGTGTAGTTTGGAAAAAATAAGTTTTGTAACAAACAGACAGATGTGGATAGAATACTATTAAAATATTGAGTGAGGATACACCATTTTACATGCGGTCTTTGCCCTCGTAATTTTGCCAAATTCGAACCGGACCTTGCTTCACATTCTTTCTTTACTTACAAAAATAAGGGCCCAAAAGAAAAAGAAAACGTATAATGTTCCAATTAAGAATTATTCCCCAATGCCAAAGTTCATTGCTGTGTTTGTTTTAAAATGATAATAGCAAGTTGCCTCTGCTTCGGTTAGTGTTTCTCTTCAATTTCTAAAATACTGTAATGTTCTGTACAGTAGTTCTACTTCATTAATTTAATTGTCGAATAAGAATTTCAAGTTTTGGCCTTAATTATTTAACTAATTATCAATTAACTCTGATTTATTTAATTTAATTTGCATAATAAGCAAAATTTCGTTTTGTTTTCATGATTATTTTTAGCTTCTTTTATTTTTATTTAAAAAAAGTCAGTATATACGATGATATTAATTTATTATTAAGTTGATAGTAAATATGACACACATTCACTTGAATTGATACTACTAAAAATTATTAATTCTAAAATTATTTTTTTGGTACAAATACCTGGAAGATTAACTATAAGAAAATTTAAAGATAAAGAAAGTGCGTCGGCGTGATATATGATTATTATGACGTCGTTTTATGAGATCAGACATTTGAGATATGAATTTATATAAAATTTCACTCTTTTCTGGGTTGGTCGGAGAAACGGATGCAAAATAAATAAATATAAAAAATGTATAGGATGGGTTTTTTGCAACATTTAAAATTCCGCATCACCAAATTGATTACCACTGCGTACAGACTACTGCAAGAACTCATTTATAAATCCATTTATAGCATAAAATTAATTTATGTAAAGCCTGAACCGATTTCACGTCCTTCAGACAGGAACATGTATATGTATAATAAACAAAATTGAATCAGTTGAATAATTTTAAAGATGATGCGTATTCATACGTATTACGTATTCAAAAGTACAAATCAGCGTAGATTCGCTCATTGTTAAGGACGTTAGCACGCGGATCTTGTGTAAAAGAACTGGTTATAATAAATGTGATGTTTGTTTACATCGATAAGATGAATCACTAGTAATTCCCAAAATCACATTCCAGCGTCGAGCGTCCTTCATAAGGACTCTCACATACGACGCGACAAGATAATTAAAGTTTTATGTTGAGATTTATGCCAATATTATTTATTAAGCATGTCAATTTTTTATGTTATTTACTTTAATTTGTTACTACGTTGTTATGTAAATGATATATATACGCGTTCATTTTATATTCATACTAATATTATAAATGTGAAAGTTTGTGAGGATGGATGGATGTTTATTAATCTTTTACGTCAGAACAGCTGAACGGATTTGGATGTGGCACAGAGATAGACTATAGTCTGGAATATTACATAAGTTTACTACAATATATAATAAGTATATACTTTTTTACCCAGAAAAATGTACCGTTCCCATGGGATAGATTTGTTTTTGTCTAGGGACGAACCCGATGCGAAGCGAGGGTGAGTCGCTAGTTTATAATAGTAGGTAATTAGAAATTAAGTCTATTCTAATCTATCTAGATTATATAAGTCTAATCTAGATTTTATTATTCTTCAATTCAATTCTTTGTTCTTTGGCCTATAGGCGTACCATTTGAGCATAGTTTATTTATTATTCTTATACATTTTTAAACGGAATGACTACGAAAGTTATAAGTTATAATGTCACAAAATTAAGGTCTGAATCAACAAAGACAATAATTTATAATTTTTGATAAAGATTCACTGTTAAAGTTACATGTAAATATATATCTAAACTTCAAAACGAATGGATTAAAAGACAGTAATATTAAGTACACTTACGAGTAGGTGTGTGTTTTGAACAAATATTTCTTTATTTAAACTAAGGAGAAGCTCTAACCAAAGCAAACTAAAATAAGTAACTGTTAGCAACAGTGTAATATTTTAATAAAATATATCTACTATTTTTGCTAAAAATCAAGTCATCTGTACTATTCTAAACAAGGATCAAGCAAATAAAAGAAAAATAACAAAACATTAACAAAATAATATTAATGGCTCACTTTCAGAAACGACTATATAAAACGTATTAATTGAGAAATTCTTCATTTTAATAGAGATGTTTGTTAATAACATAAATATATATGGTAATAATAGGCTGAATTAATATAAATAAAATTAATTTTTATAGTTTATTACTTCGCAAAAAATATGGACTATAAACATTTGCTGAATTAGCATTTTATAAAATCACTTCCTTAATCTAAAACGGGTGCGACAAAAATTTAAATTAGATATTGTCTAAACGTATTTTGTTAAAATATTATCGTAATTAGTATCTATTAATTTACATGTTCGTAGGTATTAGTGATGTAACAAATGTTCGATTTTTCACATTCGCGAATGCGAATGCGAATATTCATCTCCAATATTCGCAAATGCGAATGCGAATGTTGACTGACTCTGTTATTAACATATAATTGTGTAGTTTATATTTTATTATCTTTAATTGAAGGTTTTCTATGAATTCATAAAAAAAATATATAGTGAAGAAATATATTATTGAAGCCAAAGGTTAAATAACATTATGGATATTAAGACTTTGCTTTTATTTAAAATCGAAATAAATATTGTTATTTTTTCTGTAAAAAGAAATTTATTATAATAATAACGTTATTTACTGATATATAATTTAATTAAGTATTCAATTAATTTTTTGGAGTATATATTTCATTATCTTTAATTCTTAGTAAAAGATAAGTTGAAATATATAATACATATATAATTGAAGCCAAAGGTTACGTAACAGTTTCGATAAGTTTTAATTTTGGTTTGAATATTTTTTGTTTTTTTTTTCTAAAATTTGACGGCGCGTGTGGTTCAGTTTGTAGTGACCCTACTTGCTGTGCCAGCGGTCCCGAGGTCGAGTCCCGCTGGGGGCATTCATTTCTGTGATAAGCACGAATGTTTGTGCTCCAGTCATGGGTGTTTATATTTATAATATGTATGTATTCAAAGTTATATATTTGTAGTGTATCAACTATCTGGTATCCATAACACAGGCCTCGTATCTTACCATGGAACTAGATGGTGATGTGTGTTAATGTCCCAACATATTTATTATTATTCATTTATACAATACAGGAAGTACATAGATATTAGATACGTTACTAGCGTTACAAAGTGAAGCGCACAAATGGCTATAGTCTCCATTGGCCTTAGTCGTTTTCGAATATGCATTCCGAAAATGCACTAATTATCAGAGCAAAATATACAAAGTCCACGGGATCACATACCACAGGTAATTAATCCGAAATTATTATATTTTATTTGGTTTATAATCTTTTGTAAACAAATAAAGACGCAATGATTAGGTACGTTATTAAAAGAAAACTCACAATGACGCACACTGGCTGTCTTTTTTTCTTATAGTATTGATAGATTGCGCTATCCCTTTCACACCATTTGACAATGTGGTGGTTAAAATAAAATAATAAATGTGTGGAGTATGTTGCTGAATGAGTTTTGTGAACATATAACGTGTCTATATTATAAAACATTATTGTCGGTAAAAAGAAATTGTAAGCTTTTTAAAAAAATAGTAGAATATAAGTACAAACCGCACATAATAATGTAATAAGACTTAGATATTATTATTAATTTGATTAGACCTCTCAAGTTCTCTTTCACAAAAGATATTACAATTTAGAATTTGAATTTTTTAAATTGTAAGGAAACCGCTGTTAGTTATTTTTTACTCTTTAGTATTTTTTTGAAGTCGGTAGAATTTTTATTAAATTAGTTTTTTATTAATCAAATAAAAAATTAAGAAATAAAATCTAATTCAAATTTTATTTGTGTTTGTCATATACCTACATTCCCCACACACTCACATCGTTTCTTGCGAATACGAATGCGAATGGCAAAAAATATGTGAATATTCGCGAATGCGAATATTCATACATCACTAGACTAGATATACTCTAAGAAAATATTTATTATATAGGCAAGCAATATCAATCCTATGTGATTGAGATTATCCATAATTTAACATATTTTTAAAAGTTTTTTATATTTGTAATTATATTAATAATATTGTAATTTATGAGGTATTAGAATGCAATATTTTGAAATTATCATGAAAAAGTTGTTCTTTATTATATTATTATACAACAATATTGTTAATTATTATTATTATTATATATTATTAATTTAAGTTTATATATTTTTTTATTAATAAGGTACAATGACTGTGTATTAATTGTTTAGTTTATTCTATAGGGGTGGCATGATCACTCTGTGACCAAACCTTTTAAAATAAAGATGAAAAAAAAAACGTATAATGACTTCAATATCACCAAACCAATTTTTTTTAGTTAAAATTTATAGGAACATCCTTGAGAACTAATGAGCAATATATCGCGTAACATTATCATCGTTTAGAATAATATATTTAAAACGTACGACTGATTTAAGTGATTCCCCTATTTTTAAGTCAGTCAAATATCCATACGGTATCTTTAAATCAGAGTCGTACGTGTGCCGTCTGCCGAGTGTCCATAAAAACAAAGCGTCAGATAAGAAACCAGCCAGTCTTGCTCGGTATTTCATATAGAGTCCTTGACGTTAAGAAAATAAAATATATACAAAATAATTCGTAAAATGGTGTCGAGGATTGTGTGTTTTATTTTGATGGTTGGTTTGGCGAATGCTGCCACCTTTATGGGAAAGTTGCCCATGAAACCTAAAGAACACGGTAAGTCTATTACTGTTGTAGAAAAAAGGTGTCCCCTGGAGACAGTTTGACTTTCTATTAACGATATCGTAAATGAAAAAAGAACATGTTAAATTACGTCGTTTTACGGTTAAATATGTCAGTTCCATATTTTTATATTTATTAATAGCGATTGTAGAATGTCAAGTTATCTAATCCTTCTAATTTTTATGTGAGAAGATGGATTGACAGGATATTGAACCGACGAATAACAGAAACATCCGGTTCTAAAATAATTCAAGCTTAATCCAATATTTATCATATACTCTCAATATACATATTGGCAAATGGTATCGTGCTAATTTAATTATGTATTAAAATAACTATAGATTAAATTAACTAAACAAAACTTAATATACGAGTATAATATTCACTATTTAAATTTATCCATGTAGCTTTGAATTGAGGAAGGCTTTGAGTGATACGTATATAACTTTTTTTTGCTTAGGAATAATCTTTAAAACCACGTGTTTAATCGTCTCAGTGTTATAAAATTTAACCATCAAAACCAATGGTGTATATTATAGTATAGTATTTTTAACCGACTTGAAGAAAAGTAGTAAATTCATAGACATTTATTGTTTTATCATCATCAATTAAATAAAGTTGCTTCCGTCGTTTAAAAAAATAATTATGCGTTTCCCATATATTCATTAGTACGTAATAAATTCATGTGTATACTTGTACATTGAAAATATTAATCAAACATTTAATTAAATGTTCACGTAAAATCTATTCAAACATATAAAATTAATTCGAATCCAAAATTATCTGAAAATGAATTCACCAAATGTGATTTTATTATTTTACTTATTTTTATATCATGTTAGCCTGAGCCATATTGTACTAATATATTTATGGTATTATTTTAACTATATTTCACAAGTTACTCGTATTCTAAGCCGACTAAACAGCCTGTAATAATATGGATAGTAGTTTCTGCTAGAAAGAGAAGCTTAAGAATCGGTTTTTCTATTAATTTGTCGTTCTAACAAAAAATCAATTTTAATTTTAATTTTTAATAAACAATACTACTTTACATCTTTCTCTTTTCCACTTTTTCTTCTATTTTCCGATTGGAAAGAGTCTTGTGACATGTTGTTCTGCTGATTGCCATGCATTGATTGCTAATTTCCATAAGTATCCAAATTCTATGATTTGGGTGGTTATTACTAAACTAAGGTTATGATGGCTGTAAGTTAAACTCCTCTCCAACGTGTGTTCTCCTTGTTGTGGTGGGGCTTATTAGCGTCCAGCAATCCAGCCGGGCGTGAAGCCAAGAGGTACACTGGGAGGAGGTCCATTGTGGAGGGTGGTGTACCATGCAGGTTGCTCCTGGTACTTCTATGACAACAGTGGCCCGAGGGAGCAACCCCTTGGTTGTGTGGTCTGCTCCGTCAGACCTGGCGTCGGGGTATCGTGGTTGAGTGCGTAAGCAATCCTGCGACGCCCTAGCTTTCTAGCCGGTCAGTCCCACATAATCACCTATTATTTTATTAATTATAGAGGTGGTACGCGTAAATGCATTTCCCAACATAAAAAAGAAGCTGTAAGTTAAACTGTCTTGCAGCTCGTTTTAACTAGCACTGTTTATCATCTTTAGAGATCAATGCTAAATATGTTTACACAACCATATTTACTTACCCAATATCCGAGAATTATAGAAAAGTCAAATTCTTAGGTTTTATAGATTAGTATATATACTCTTACATTGCAATTTTGCATTTTTTCTCATAAGTGAGATATTTTCCCGTGGTAAAAAGTATCCTATATCTTGACCCGGATAACCAGCTATCACCTTACCAAATTTCATTAAAATCCCTCCAATGGTTTTTCTGTAATGCGGTAACAGACAGACAAATAGACAGACAAAAATTCTAAAAACTATAGATTCGGCTTCTGTATCGATAGTAATGTTTATTTCAATAAAATTTTCCAAAAATATTTAATGTACAGATTCGGCTTAGTTACAATTTTATTATATGTATAGATAGAAAAAAAGATTAGTTCAAATAAAACTAAATTCTTTTAATACTACTATAAATACAAAGTAAAAGTATTTTTCAATAGTTTCAGTATCAAATTTATTTTTATCTGAACTGTTATATAAAAAAATTTAAATTTATAATTCCTAATTAGATAAAAAGCTAAGCATCAAACTAGAATATTATAATTTTTCATAAAAAACTATAATCGTGATCATTAGTATGGCGCCATTACTAATAAACATTACATTCGTTATCATCAAGTCGGAACAAGATCCTTGACACGTTGACCTGTTCAATCAAACGGATATAGACACGAGTCTACATTTTATTAATAACTGCCGTTGTAGTTATCTTCTCGAAATATTCGATACTGATTTATTTTGAAAAATAAATATATTTATAATTTTTAGTATATAATATTATATATTATACAAAAATATATATTATATAAATATATATCTAACCTGCCTATAGCCTGACCCCCCTTGTATTAATGGGAGGCCTGTGTGACATTTAAAAAAAGGGCTGATTACAATAGGTACTATAAATAAAACGACTATCATCTGCCAAAGATAGAATTTAGGACAAGAAGCAACAATCTAGTTAGTTTCTAATGCGACATATCCGGATAAAACCTGCTAATATATATAATACTAGCGTTTTCCTGCGGCTCCGCCCGCATAGTACATTAACCACCAACATATCATATACTAAAACCTTCACCGAAACACCCTGCATCTTATGGTATGAGTATTATTCCGATCGGTTCAGTAGTTATTGCAGTATAACCGAACAAAAAAATCGGCTCTCCATTTATTAGTATAGATATAATATCCTTATTGAAAAGCTCAATATATTACAACTATCAAAATAATCGAAGGTAATAAATAAAGAAATATTTTACAAAGAATAAAGCGTATGCGCGTTATAAATCATCAAAACGTCCCACAAATTCAAATTAGCCAGATGAGTGGCGCCGCGATGGCATTTTTGTATCAATTATACTTTAAATCGCAAATAAATAGTCAGACGGCGACGGAGTCATTTAAAACAACGCCCGATATCTTTTTCCGTATGATTATCTTTTGGAAACTATAAAAATAACCGTATTTGTATATTAATAAGACAAAATATCGTGAACTTTTCGAAATAAAATGGTGAATGTATACATTTTGTATGGCGCCAGCTGCTAAAATTTAGTTTTTATGAGAAAATTTTGTTATGTAACATTTTGGTGGGTTTTATGTTTTTATATAAGTTTTATTAGTATCGTAGTTGCATATTTATGAATCTAAATCAATATATCATAGGTTAAAAATCTCACTTTGAGTAAATTTGGAATTAAACGATAAGATAGATTAGAACAAAGCTCGGTTTGAAGGAGTCATTTCTTTAGCTCAGGCTCCAGCACAGTTGGGTTATTTGACCCAAGTACCTTTTACTTTGTCTTACATTATTATGATATGTAACATAATACGCATTTTATCCGACAAATACGTAACATATATGGTGAAAATCCTTACTTCCTCGAACATTTAAAATGAAATACCCTTATTTTGAAATGTTCATTCGAAACAAGAAATCCTATAAAACGAAATTACGTTTTAAATACTTACTCGTTGTCAAACTGTCGTTAAGTCTATAAAAACGTACACGCAGTAATTAAAGCTACAGATAAGATGAAATAATTCTTTAGATTGAAGAAATTATTCTGTAGGGCTGCTACGAACTCCTTATATATACCATACTCTTACTAGCGACATGTCCTCACACACACTCCGTTGACGACACGTTTGTAGTGACCTTACAGTCTTGCTGTGCCAGCGGTTGCGGGTTCGAGTCCCGCTGGGGGCATTCATTAGTGTGATGAGCACGAATGTTTCTACTCCAGTCATGGGTGTTTATATTTATAATATGTATGTATTAAAAGTTATATATGTGTAGTGTATCAACTGTCTGGTATCTATAACATAAGTCTCGTAGCTTACCATGGAACTAGATGGTGCTGCGTGTTAATGTCCCAACATATTTATTTATCCTCACCTTTTAATACAGTGGTAATAAAAAGTAAGTAGTGTTATTTATCAACTCATAAACAGTCTCTGGAGAGAAAATCACCTCGAAAGTTATAACGAAGTAATCAATCAACCATTTTTTTTCTGATAGTATAATAATATGCTGTACGAAAACTTGTTAGTTTCTCTCAGACTTGCAAGTTTCCTAACAATATTTTCTATTGTGATGTTTCACCACGCATTTTATCAGTTTGGTGGACTATGGCCTGATCTACTTCGGATTAAAGGGCTCGTGCTCCACAGTGAAAGGTTGAAAAGGGCTGAATACATCATACTAAGTATAATAGAAACTTTTCAATGAGATAACAATTAAAATATGTACGATCAAATATTTTTAACAGACAACCCTGATGTATTCGCAAAACCTTCTTGAGGGGTCAAGGTCCTCTTGTGTAAACAATCTACAAGGTGAAGATTTTGTTTTCTTAAAAGATGCGCCGCAATACTTATTACGTTGCTGCGTATATTATTGGCTTAGTGCTATCATTTAACTCGTTTTTACAAGCTTTTATTTAACTTGCAATGTTAGTTCATTAATAATTTATTTAGTTAGTGAGTATGTTTGTTTAGGTCAAATCATTCGAGCTGTATTAGAACCACTTCTTCTTACCCTATAGGCTACAACAAGCTTTTATCTATACATAAATACTAGCGATTCATCCTCGCTTCGCTCGGGTTCCTCTCTAGCTTGGTTCCCAATACATACTATCATCCTCATTTTCACCCCCTTAAGGGATGATTTCCGGGATAAAAAGTATCCTTTGTCCTTCCCAGGGTCTCAAACTATCTTCTTACCTTTCATCTAAATCGGTTCAGTAGATCCAGAGATTAGCCACTATAACCTCACAAACTCACAAACTTTACCTCTTTATAATATTACTTAGTATAAAAAAATGGATGTTGTTATGTTTATCCTATAGCGTTTTACCCTCGCATCGCTCGCGTGTGTCCCTAAGCTTGAATGGTTTAGCAATGCGTAAAAGCAAGAGGCCTGTATATATATATATATATATATATATATATATATATATATATATATATATATATATATATATATAATACATATATATTAAAATTTTAAAGTAAGCTTGTATTAATATGGAATTCATCTCTTTCCAGTCAGTTAAACGTGCTCCGTCACATCCTTGTTCACAACAAGGTCGTTGCATTGTTATTAAGTTCATCGTAATCGTAAAAATTTAGAGACGCTCGCATTCCACGAATTTTAGTATATTTTTTGTCTTGCTTATATTTGTTGTTATTAAAAAATATATGATTCTTTATATTAATTTTTTTAATATTTTTATATATTTATTATTTTGTATTTTATACAAAAAAAACATCTGAATTAAATATCTCTTTTTTTAAATACCTAATTGTTTTTTTTTTAATTATGTACTAAATGCTTGTAAGTTGTATACCATATCGGGTCCTGGGAAATTTTTTGGGAAAGTTGCCAATGAAACTCCCATCGAAATCGGTCCACCCATTTAAGAGATTAGCCAGAACAGACAGACAGACAGACCAAAAATTTAATAATTGTGTTTTTCTTATGTGTACCGTATATACTTTCATATGCATATAATAAAAAGTTGTTATTTTGACATTCCAAACAGACATTTCAATTTTATTTATCTGTATAGATGTCGAGTTTCGTCTAAATCTTAGAACAGTATTATCTCCTCTTACTTGAAGTGGATCAAAATCATATATGTGTATAATATAACAAAATATTAATTAATATATAAGAGCATTTATGATTTACAGTATTTCGACCATAATGAAGCGTAGCTTACAAAATGAAAATATCGATAGATTTTAATCATACGAATTTCATCATAGATTATTAGTTAAATATATTAATTAAAATTCATCGAAATATAATCGAAATGCGTTATTTAATTAATATTTATTTCCTCTAATAACTAATCAGTAATCAGTATTAATATATTCTTATAATTTTCCACGAATGCTTGTTATTGTATTTCTCAATAAATGAATTATTATTAGGTATTTTCCATCGTTAGTTTTGGTAGTATCATGAATATCTCAGGGTTATTATGATTTATGGTAAAACTTGTAAAAATACCTTAATCTGAATAAAAAAATGCCTGACAAGTAACGTGTAGTAAATATAGGTACTATCTATATAGTATTAGAGATTTACGAAATATCACTGTCGAAAGTATAAGTCTACTTGCGGCTCTCCCACGCTTCGTTCGGGTTCGTCCCTAGGTACGTTTTAACGACTAGTGTGGAATAGATAGACTATATATTATATTACTACTTCGCTCGCTTGGGTAGTAGTATGATGATATAAAACCTATATAAAGCCTTCCTCAACAAATGGGTTATCTAATGCAAAAAAAAAAATTCGAATTGAATTAGTAGTTCCTGAGATTAGCGCTTTAATACAAAAAAAAACAAACAAACTAAAAGACTCTGCTTCTTTTATAGAGCCTGCACTCTAATTCTCTCCACGATGCCTTGAAGTCAAATGCCCTAGTTCTAACATATTACCAAAGTAATATTAAGTTGAAATATAATGAATAATATGAAGTAATATTAAGTATATTACGAACAATTTGTTTTTTTTTTACTAAAACACTTTCGTAGGTGGTCTCGAGTTTGATTAGCTAATTTAAAATATGTAATTTATTTTTAGAATATTTTAAAATTTCATAATACAATAAATACTATTTTATTGTAAACATATATTTGGCGTACTTGGTTTTTTAATGAGAGCAAAATTTTTTAATTTATTATTTTGTCTTGTTTCAGCTCACAAAACAGGCTGTTATATTGCGGAGATCAATGATGTTATACCTTATGGAGAGATGGTTGCGCCAGTCGGTGTTTGCTACAGGATAGAGTGTTCTAGACATATGCTTTACTATGCATCGTAAGTTGAATTTTAATAAATACTAGCGACTAATAGTTACGTTTTAAAGTTTAGTATAGATTTGTCAAAAATGAGATATTTTTCCGCAGTATAAAGTATTCTATATGTTGACCCAGAAAACCAGCTGTCATCATACAAAATTTCATCAAAACCTGTCGAGTGGTTTTCTCGTGACGCGGTCACAAACAGACAGAAAGACAGACGGATAGACAAAAATTCTAAAAATTATAAATTGGGCATCGGTATCGTTAATAATGATTATTTGAATAAGATTTTCCAAAAAAATATTTAAAGTACAGATTCAACTCAGAATTTTATTATATGTATGGAAAATAGAAGAACGTTAGTGTAGATAAGTAAGTACATAATAAGAGAAAGATTCGCCTCGTAAAATTTTAACTTTAACACAATATTTAATCTTTTACAGATGCGGAACTATATCTATGGATGGTTCACCGAACTGTTTTGTTTCGGATGAAGATTTGAGAGTGCCGTATCCTAGTTGCTGTCCTGAAATAAAATGTGAACAGGATAACTATCTCATATAACGTAGTGTAAGCAAGGAGCATTAAACAGTTGTTGACATTTAAGGAGACTGAGTATTTAGAAAATGTGAGAATATCAAATTTTTACATATATTGTGAATAATGCTATGAATATTTTGAATGTGAAATGGATGTTTGAAAACGTTTGCGTCTAACATAAAAATAATTATTAAAAATGGAATATTGAAAAATGCAATAAAGAAATCAGGGAAATAATTATTAATAAAGAATTTTTTATTTCATATAATATGAAAGGAAAGTAAAAAAAATCGTTAATTTGTAATAAAAGTATATAATTTATATTAAGTTATATTAAGGATAAATAAGATTAATGTATTGTAAAATGTCAACAGTTTTGAGTGCTCCTAAGAATTTGATAGAGTTCCTTTATAAGAGTTAGAGGTTAACGAAGCACGTCTTCGCTTTAACTCGAGAAGCTATCTTGCCGCCAAATTGTTATTATTTATTATATTAAATTAATGCCTCTCTTTATATTTTGTTTTATTTTCTCGTTTTATACTTTAACTAGCGACTCACCCTCGCTCCGACCGGGTTCATCCCTTCTTTACATTTTAACGTTTAGTATAGATTACTCACAGATGAGATATTTTCCCCAGTAAAAATATCCTATGTATTGACCCGGATAACCAGCTATCATCATAAAAAAAATCATAAAAATCTGTACAGTGGATTTCTCGTTATGCGGTCATAGACAGACAGGCAGACAATAATTCTAAAAACTATAGATTCGGCCTCTGTATCGATAATAATGTTTATTTCAATAAGATTTCCCAAAAAATATTTAATATACAGATTCTGGTTAGTTAGAATTTTATTATACGTATATATAGATATATACAGACTATTTTTTTTTCAATACTACAAATAAAATGTTATATATATATATATATATATATATATATATCAAATATTCGCGTAAATCAAAGAAAGTATTATAGGGCTATAAAGATAAATGGTGAGTCAAATATTTTAAACTCATAAAGAGAACTCATTAAATTAAACAAAACATAACTATTTTGATATAGTATTTCATGTCATTTTTTATATATTTTATTAGAACAAATATATAACTAGTGCCATCTTTCGCGAAATAACGGAAACAAAATGACGAAACAACCATCTTGCAATAAGAATGTTGTGGAAAGTAAAATTCTTTCTTAATTCCATTCTTAATTCTTAAATAATAAATCTTGATTCACCAGAATAGTCTCAGCAATTCAATTGCTTCGCTTCTTACTCATATTATTAGATTTTTAAGAGGTATATTAAAATTCAAGAGTTTATAAATATATTATTTAGTGAACGCGCTCATTTTATTATGAGGTCGAGTGTTTGTGTTGAAGTTTCACGAGAATTCACCGCCTTTGAATAGATGGCGTTGAAGCATAATAAGATGTATTTTAAGAAAAAGTCACTATTAAGTATTACTAATATTATAAATCCATGAGTTAGTTTGTTGGTTTATAGATTTGAAGTATCTTAAAAAATAACATTATCAGATGTTGATTCATTTAGATGTCCAAAAAATTCACTGTAAGCTACGCGACTGAATTTTTTATCTATACCTACAGATAAATAAAATTGAAGTGTCTGTTTGTAATGTCAAAATAGCAGCTTTTTACTAAATGCATAATAATGAAATTATATACAGTATTTATATTATAAGAAAAACACAATTTTTAATTTTTTTTCTGTCTGTCTGTCTGTCTGTCTGTCTGTCTGTTTGTTCCGGCTAATCTCCAAAACGAATGGGCTGATTTTGACGGGACTTTCTCTGGCAGATAGTTGATGGTATAAGGAGTAACTTAGGCTACTTATATTTCAGTAAAAGAATTAAGGTTCCGCTCAAAAAAATTAAAATGTAGTCGTAAATGTAGTAGAGTCGCTAGTTCCATATATTTTAAAGCATTCTGACGTCATTTTAACTATAAAATTATATAAAAGTGTCTCTTACATAGAAATATAATAATAATCTGTAAAGTATAGTTTAAATCCTGTAAGGCATGCTTCATAGCTACGAGTAAGTTTTAAGCAATTGAATCTTCACCTCTAATATTCCAAACCTTTCTAAGTCCAGTTTATAAAAAAAAAAAAATTATGAAAATAAAAAAAGACACGAAAAGACGAACTAAAAAGATTAAAACTAGTTAACAAAGCAAGTTGCTGCTAGTCTTACTACATGAACGTACATATGTTTCCGTTCAAGACGAATCTAATGACGTAATAATTACAAAACTTAGTCACGACGTTTAGTAATTACGAGGGAACATACGATCGGATATACATACATACAGGTCAAACACATAACCGTCTTGTGAGCTTCGCTGCAGTAGAGTGAAAAGGAAAAATAAGATACCTAAATATAACTACAAGATAACAAATTTTAACTACACGAATGAAATTGAACATGGATATGTTTTGGAAATGTTATCCTTGCCTTCAAATCTATAGCTTTTCGGATTACATAGATTAAAAAGTTGCAAAAAATCTCAGTGCGGAGTTCGTGTGTGATTGAAAAATAAATTGCGGTGTAGTTTGAATCGATTCGATGAATCCTTTTCCAATCAAAGCGTTTTGGTTCTTAACTCAAAATATTATAAAACTAGCGATTCAACCTCGCTCTGGTTCGTCCATACATGTTAGTATGGAAAAGACTATATATTATATTATATAGTTTATAGCATTCCTCAATAAACGGGCTATCTAAAGCAAAAATAATTTTTCAAATCGAATTAGTAGTTCCTGAGATTAGCGCGTTCAAACAAACAAACTACGACTCTTTATAATATTACTATAGATTACTAAATTTGCATACTTCTTGGTTGAAACTAAAACCTATAAAGAATACTAATGTAGGTTTTTTGTATATTTACTAGTGTTCGCGCGTAACATTATAAATGTGTAAGCTTAGATTTTTGGATGGATGTTTGTTACTCGTTCACGCCAGATCGGCTGAACGGATCTGGATGAAATTTGGTACAGAGATAGATTATAGTCTGGAATAGCACATAAGCTACTTTTTATCTCGGAAAAACGTGTGGGATTGATATGTTTTTGATTTTCTAGAGGCGAATCCGAGAAAATCAAGGGCGAGCCGCTAGAATTATGTAAAAAAAGACGAACTGCTTTTGATTTTTTTAATTATACCGCTAAAGCTCGTCAATAGCCACTAAACAAAATAAAAGGAGTTCGATTGACAAAAGGAAAAGAAATACTTTTTTGTCTTTGCTGTTTATACATAGATTTTATGCTTTATAATAAAGTGTCAAATAAATGAGAGAAACTGGAAATGGCATAAAATTAAAAGAAACAAAACACTAGAAGTAATTGTAATAATATTCTAAGAGACTTTTAAACAAAATGAACCCCCTGGGGGCTTAAGAAATGGGAGACATAATAAAGGTATCTTAAGGCAAAAAGTAGATAATAAAAAAATATACCCGCCAGGGGAATTACAGGGAAATCTCTTTGTTTTTAACAATATTGTGAATTTTGGGGCATACTACTTTGTAATAATGAAATTTTCTCTTGAATATAAATGTGAACATTAAATTATTTAGTTAACAGCTTTGAAGATCGCAGTTTTTTTATTCAAAATAAATGTTTTTAGTCATATAATATTTTGTTTTTATTAAAAGTTAATAGCAATAAAAATAATAACTCTTTATTGAAGATAAAAACCTTACAATGACAGGTAAGTGTACAAAAGGCGGCATTATCGTTAAAACAGCGATTTCTTCCAGGCAACCTTAAGGTGTAGGAATTAGCAAAGGGTGAACTGGAAGGGGTGTAAACACAGAGTTGTAAATAAAATGACATATACATTAAACATATGATATTATGTATTATTTTTGAAAAAAAATTAAAAACTTGAATAAATACAAAAAAAAAACAAAAAAAAAATCCTTTGTATCTGACCTATGATTGTCAATCTTGCGTCTTTTTTAAAAAAAAAGACATATATATATATATATATATACCGTACACCACTGGACGTATATACGTTTACCACTGGATCTTTATCCGACGAGGATAGAGAATTAACAGTGACCTGTGACAACAAGGACACTTTTCACTCGAAATAACCTATCCCGCATCGGGAGTTTCATTTTATTGCATACTTTAAACGTTTTACATTTATATATATATATATATATACAAAAAATATGCGTGTAGGTATAATAAGTTGTACGTTTCCATCCATTACTTTCACTATTTACAACAAATTCAAGCTTATTACTATTATTAAAATTTCTTTCTTAATTTTCGTTAAATGTTATATAATGTAAAATGTTATCGATCAAAAAACGAATACTAGCCACTTTATGATTTTGGTAACAAAATAGATGGGTGAATATATTCAGCTCAATTCTCATGCCTTCCAAGTGTGCCACTTGAGTGCAATTTACGTCGCCAATGTCACTTAGAATGGTTTCCCATTGGGCTCTATTGGGCTGGGATTCGCCCGAGATTAATCGGTAAAATGAGATTATCTTATTAATATTATAAATGTGAAAGTTGAGATGTTTGGTTGTTTGAATGGATGTTTGTTACTCAATCATGCCAGAACGGATGAACGGGTCTGGATGAAATTTGACACAGAGATAGATTATAGTCTGGAATCTGGAATTATACCGGAAAAATGTACGGTTCCCGTGGGATAGATTTGTTTTTTTTTGCTAGAGGCGAAAGTGAGTGAAGTGAGGGTAAGCCGCTAGTTATATTATAACTACAATTAGTTAGTGTATGAAGACAAGTCAAATAACATTTAAATAGCGATTTATTTTTGAACATTTCAATTTAGGTTTACAAAATTCAAACCTTACATGGATCTCTTATGGTGTTAGATTAGGCATATAATACCTAAAAAAATAAGTTTTTATTAGGTATTATATACCTAATATTTTTATTATAATTTCATATCACTGTTTTTTCTTCCATAAACTACAACATATTCAAACTTCTGTGAAAAACTCGTG